TACTTTCCTCCACTGATTTATTGGTTCCTTTCTTAGAGTTAAAAAACTTTTGTTGAAATATTTAAATACACATAGTAGTTGCCTGTAATAATGAGATTGATAGTCAGGTACGTGGATTAATTAGCGTTGTATCAGTGAGACGATACAAGAGACTGTTCATAATTTTTGACATAGTAGATTGATTTGTTTACTACAGCATCAATTGTAAACTGTACCGAATGCAGATTATATAATTCTATCTGATATTTCTTTCGTAATTCCTTGACAAAGAATATCCTGCTACATTTTGTCATGAAACATCAGCCAAGTGAACTGGAGAATGTTTTTTCCTTTTCTTTTTAAAAAAAACACACAAGAAAGTATGTACAAATAGTTAAACAAGATGACCCATAGAAGCGAACTCAAGACGAATTACAATAATTTTACAACTATCGTATCACATAAAAATTACTAAGATATATCCATGGAAAATCTGGAAGCACTGGCCAGCCGTTTAGTCCTAGTATGGGACTCCTCAGCAGTACGCGTCTACGATCCCACCCCGTGGGATCAGAAACCAGGACCTATCGATCTCGCGCGCAAACACCGTCTAACTTCAACCGATTAACAAAATTACGCCACCGCTTATCGTAGTTTCATTTGTCTATAGGTTAAGCGTTCACGCACGAGACTGATAGGTCCTGAGTTCGAATCCTGCGGGCTGAACCGTGAATAGGCACTGCTGAGCAATCTCCTACTAGGACGGAACGGTCATTCAATGCTCCCAGGTTTACCATGGTGGTCTAACTTCAATTGACTCATACATTCAACTATTAAATTTACTAAAATCTCTACAAAATCCCCTCCTTCTAGTGTATTTATATAAGATAAAGATTTTTGCATTGATCAGTACATTTTATTTGATATATAATTCCCTAAGCTAAAAATAATAATAATAACTCTTTCTTCTTAACTAATGCATAATCTTAATAGACACTTTATAACCATTTAAATATCTAATAAATAATTTTGTTAAGTATTACACTTTTCAATAATTCAATATAAGCAGAAAAATAAACTATTATTGAACAATTATTTTAATTATAGATTAGATTAATGGCTTTATTTAAAAAAAAATGATCTGAGAAGAAAAAAGCATACAGTAGCTAGGGGATAGTCAAATTATTAAGACTATATATATTATCACGTCGGATTGATCAAATCTATCTTATAACAATTGACGGAATTATTTGACTATTAAAATGCTTTAATGATATTTGTACTATTCATGTCCAAGTTCACAGTTAGACTGATATTAGTTAATACTATTAGTAGTAACAATATCACAATAGTTAAATAATTTTATGGAAATAAAAACTCATCACTAGTACCTCTATATATTTTGTAACAATATATCCAAATATTGTGTTCATTTCTCTGTATCTTAAGACAACAGAGACTAATCTGCTTTGAAATTGTATAATAGAATACTAACATAAATGAGATATATTTAAACATAAGATCTTCATAAGTAATTGATTGGTGTCTATCTAAAATGATAAATGTTAATATAAAAAATTACGCGTTTTATTCTTATATGCCAAAACAATATGTTTGTGTGGTCATAACCTTTACGTCTTTATCAGAATCCTTCTTTAAAATCACTCATACAATCATAAGAATTGGCACAAAAGGAATACAAATGAAAAACTTATATACAGCAAAGTTTATAACGATATTACTAATCCAAGCGTAACATTTGTATACAAAACCAATGTGTTCAATTCATCATTATACCATTGTCTTAATCTTTCTCTTTATCGTTTATAATCTTTCACTCTTTCCCAATTACTTTTCACAACTATTAATTGATCACCATTATCACAACTTTTAATTATTATCTATTAATTGGAAAATTATCTTCACCTTAATAGTTTTCACTAGCCGATTATTGTATAACCATGTATCAATATCTGATTTTCGTAAACAATTCATGAGAGGTGTTATAATTCTCTTTTATTACAACCCAGCTATTCCTATTGCTCAGTATTCTTGGACACAGATTCACTCGACAAGTTCCCAAACCATAACACGGTTGAACAGGAAAGAGATTGTATTCCAAATAACAAGGTTAGATGGAAGTAAGAAGCACAAAAGGGAAAACGTTAGTATAATATATAGTTTTTACGAGATTTCTAGTGTTTTCTAAGTATCGACTAGCGCTGATTGAATAGGAATTAGCCAATCAGCGTGCGCCAACGCAAGCGTGCACTGAGCATGATTTAATCCAATCTATGTCCCGCTAACAAGAGGATACCACTTCAATTTCTATAAATATTCAACACCGTACTATTATGCTATATATTACTATTTTCAGCAAATAAATTGATATATGGCTGTACAGTTTAAGTAAATGAGGTACAGAACTTTCTTCACGTTAGAACATCGTGACAAATAACAGATTCACAGGACATGATATTCAACTACAATTAATGAAGACAAACCAAAGCCTATCGGAATATAAAGCTGGGAAACTTTATTCGACAAGTAAGTAGTAGTAACAACTGACCTAAATTGAAAATGGTATACCGATTAGATAAGCATTTACACATACTACTAACTTTATAATTAGACGAAATCGAAAAGTGGTGTGTAATAAGTGTGAAAGGTAGGTTACAGGAGAAAGAATCATTTGGTTAATAAGATCAGTTGCCCTATCTATCAAGTATGAATATTATCTTACGCTGTGACACGTCTTATATATATGAAAATATGGTAGGACTGAACTTAAACAAAGCTCTCGAAGTAACTTGAGCCAACCTAATTCTAAAACACAAGAAAGCCGTTTATGTGGTAGCAGATCACTGAATAGTAATCAGTGTCATGTGCTTTAATGTTCAGTGCTGACTGACATAGAGAAGTACATCTACAAACTGGTCCATATCCTGAACAGAGAAATGGTAAGATTTCTAAAAACTAAAGTGATAAGCGATACGTTTCTTCAAAGCTGTACTACAGATGAATGCTTACAAATAGTTAATCTTATTCAGGGCCTCTAGTAGATCATCACTGTAATCATCCATAACAAGATGTATTTGCTGAGGTAATTATGATGATTGGACAAGGCACATAACATTACATACATGGTGCACAGTTAATCATAACAACCAAAAATAATTAATTCGCATCGTCTTTCTAGATCGATAAGGTAGAATAGGTTAGATTGTTATATTTCAATTTTACTCCCTTTCACAACAATGACTGGTATATGCAGTGTATCAAACCTTTAATTCTAAAGTAGATATCTGGCCGGCGAAACTAATAGATTGGTTAGGGTGAGACTATAATTTATGGACGACCTTTGAGAGACGCCAAAGTGACCTTGAGAGTGTCTGCTTACTTACCAGGGCTAAATGAGCCTTATAAAGCGGTTTGAAAAATAAGGATTATGACTCACGGATGATGGTTAGGAATTAGATTTATGATTTTCCATCACGAACTAACATAAGCTAAAATGCCAAGACGCTATTTGGTCAAATGGGTGAGTGAATTTCGCGCCGAAATCCAAGACTTGTTAACTTAAATCTGACTGGTTCGTCTATAAATTATATTCTTGCCTTGGTTAGTTATAAAAACAAAAACATTCATCTCCCAGTAATTCATGACCCACAAAAAATCGATACAACTTACCTTACATGGTATATTAAAGCACTACAACTGATTAAATATCGTCCTTAATTTAACAGTAACAATTGATGAGATGTAATAACAAGAACAAAGTTCTCACAAAGAAGAAAAATAAACATCTTAAACTAAAGAATATATCTTCAATAGGAAGTAAAAATCGGTTTTTTCAAAAGCGAATAGATTATATGTTTATTTGTAATCAAGAATGGAATAGTCAATATATCAGTCTGTGAACACATGCAGAGTAAAAACATAAATACCTAATGTTATGCAAATGAAACCATCATTATAATACAAGAGACATACAACATCAATTCTGAACACAAATTTGACCTAAGTAATATGACTAATAGCTGACAATAATTACTTGGTAATCAATATATTTTAGAAATAAATTGAGGGATAATTGGTTATTCACCCTAAATACTTCTGGTAAAAACGAAAGCAGATCACTCCACAACATTCTTCGTGTGTGGCAGAACCACTGAGTTAGTAAGGCATACTTCTAAAGGAGTGAGAATATAACAACACAGTCCGAAGTAGATAGTTCGAATGTTACGCAAACTAAGTACAATAGTACCGACTAAGTCAGCAGATATCATTTTGAGATGTTTTAATTTTCATAAGCTTGTTGGCTGAGATATTTGATACAATAATGATAGTCAAGTACTCAATCTACAATGTTTTTTTTAATTATCACAAAGTACAAGGTAAATTTGCTACGAACCCAGTAAATTTTCAATACTATATTACTGTATTCCACTGATGAATGTAATTTCTAAATATCGGTTATGTTTACGCTTTCTTTTGATAACCTGTCGATAAGTACAACTATCAGAACTAGTGTGAATTTATACATTACTTCACCCGTCCCTACTAAAAATGAACTAACGCCACATACATCAACAAAAATTGATCAGAACTCAATCGAGAAGGGCGACAAAAGACAAATACAAACCCTAACTGATGGAATTAGATTCAAATTCTTGCTCATAATAACGAAACTGCTATCGAAAGTTGAACCAATAGCTTTAAAAGCTGTTTGATACAATAAGTAAAATTAAAATTATTTTACAAAATATATAAAGAATTCTGATTAGACTTGAAATGAAACCCAGGTTCAAGCACTTGTTTGAAATAGATACGTGTGACTGACTAACTGGATACTAAGAGAGAGTTTGCTTTATTCTGCTTACTATAGACAATGATGGAATTAGATGAAAACTTTAGAACGATCAGCATACTGTGGTAGTCATGTTGTTTATAAATAGACGTACAATATATATATATATATATATATATATATATATATATATATATATATATAAAATCATTTTTAGTCATAGAAAAAGGCCAGAGAAATTCATACACATACAGAAAATACATATAATACTAATTTTATGATAACATTAGTAGAAGTATTTGGTGGTAATCATGATAAATAATACAATAAATTGATAAAAACAATAATTTTGAATAGATTGTAGCAAAATTACTATCAATCATTCAATGGAAAAAAAATGCTTTGACAAATATTGTTATAATAATAAAGAGTGAACTACTTGATCATTCTGTATGTCTAGAGACACTGATAGATAAATTGAATGAAAAACTCCAGTACATATACACATGTAACGAAAAACATAATAGTAAGAATAATGATAATAATAGTCAAGTAAAAGCCTGATTGAAAAAAAACATGCTTGTATACATTAGCGCAGCAAAACAAAAAGGAAGAAAAACGAACATGGAGAGCTGAGGATCATTTTCCAGTACAAAAAATGGAGGTGGGTAGTTGTTAATAAACTGGCTGATACATCATATATATATATGAGGAAATTAATACAAAAATAAAACTAAACATTAGAGCAAACATAATACGAAATTCAAATCACCTCCTGCCCCCGCCGACACTAACGTGACGGGACAGTTATAATGATAATAATAAAACGGAAGATATATATATATATATATATATATATATATATATATATATATGTCAGTAACTATATATGTATATTTGTAACTATCAAATACTGACAAGACATAACAGCATATTAAGAAAAACAAGTGGTCAAATTTATGCATATATATTGCTAAACAAAAATAATGGTTACTATAGCTAGGTCTGTTTGTAGTTTTTAAATTCCATTTTACACAGTACGTCTGTTTTGACAAAAAATTGACATATGAGGGTATATTAACAAAGAAATAATACATTGATTTAAACAGGTACATAATATACATAAAGTAAATGAATAAGTAAGTACATTTTTACTCTCTCTCACTTGCTCACTTTCATCCTTAATCCACTAAATCCACTTATCTATAAGCACTCAAATTAATCAACCCTAGAGATAATATTTGAAAAAAATAATACATTTAAGGGGAAAATACACATTAAAAAACATAGAGGTTAATTTGTTCAATCATTAACACATAAGGCTGAACAAAAAATTAGATAATGAATTTTTAAGATCCTAGAAGATATTTTTAAATCATTTAACATTACTGAGTGAATATTCATAACATTAATAATAATAATAATCCTTGAAAATTATGGATATACACATAGTTACATTAAGAAACAGTCGGATATACATGATTGACCAATATCTTTTGAAGATGCGTAGAGGATTGAAAAAGCCCAGAAGAGGATGATAATGATGATGGTGATGTTAACGAAGATGATTGGAAAACAGGAACAATATGACTGACAACCGATGAAACAATAGTTGAACAAGGCACACTCAAATTCGATTCACAAATGCTTGTATTGTCTTTATTATTATTATTATTATTATTATTATTATTATTATTATTATTATTCAATTCATCAATACAAGAGTCAGACTTTTTTGTTAAACTGACGTTAACAAAAGAGGTAGAAAAAGAAGCCGCCGACGTTTGAAAACGATCTACGCATAGTTTACAACTCCAACTACCTTCTGGCGGTTCGGATAACGGTGGATTTAAACAATACATGTGATAACCTCGATCACAATCATCACAAAAAAGCATTTGTTCCTGAACAATATAAATAAAAATCAAAAAATAATATTTATAAAACGAAATCATTATATGTAAATTGATAAAATAGTTGAATTACACAAAAATATTCTGCATACCACTTGTCACAGATGATATTATTATACCGTATAAATAACCCCGACCATTCATCCAAATTAAGTAATACACTACTTGCAAACTAAAATTATTTCTCAGTGAAATCTACAAGTAAAATCTTTGACTCCACGGACACTTTCTTGTCTACTCATCACCTTATACCTTTGCACTATATACACTGTTATCTCTGCACATTTCACTAACGTAATCAACAATAATAACCCCAGCTTGTATGACACTATCCCTTTAATCTTGGTAAATTACCGTCAAAATATTAAGCAAATAAAAACAACAACCAGCCCAAAAAAACCAATAAAGTTATATTAAAATAAACTAGACGAAGGTAAACAGAGAACAAATAGGTGTAAACCAACAAGACGTTTAAGATTATTTAAAAGAAGACAAGAAGTGACTGTGTCAACATTAGCACAATTGATTTCGCATGACTTTATTTAGAATCTCCAACTAATAGTTTATATTCTCAAGATCCCAGTTTCGAAGAACTACATTTATCCATGACGCCGGAACTGTTAATCACTGACTTTATAGACTGGTACCAAGCTACTGAGGTCAGGACACCCTGGGACAACTTTATCAAAAAATGTTACGACAGATATTAAATCAATGTATTAATAAGGCATATTAATCTACCGAATGCTTTTTACTCAAAAACCCGCGGGAATGAATCAGAGCTTATAGTAAGCTCTTCAGCAAAGTGGTTATAATAAATGATCGCTCGACAGTTCTCTAACTGTACTGAAATTACTCGTAAAAATGACATTAAATGTAGGGGACTTTTATCAGACTTCTGAACAATGATTTCTTAAAATTTAGATAGATGGCGTATTAATTCATGTGATTTTAACGATATACCACTTGGAATCCAGATACTAAAGGGCTTAATTTTATTTTCAACTTACGCTTTAAATAATAACTTGTTAGAATTACTTTGAAAAATCTAATTTTCAGCAATTTCCGATCGAAATTCTCAGTAGTGTGCTTCCAATAATACTGTGCTCTTAAATTTTGACATCTCTATCCTCCCAATTTTTTATTTCCATTAAGATCTCCCTATCATAGAGATCACTAATTTTATTGTCGTCTTTTTCATCTGATTGGTGTTTTCTATTGTACTTGCATGGACCGAAACAACTTCAATCGAGAACCCATTTTATTATTATTTATTCATTTGAACACATACTTATTGGTACAAGGGAGCACCAAGTAAATATGCACCACACAATAATAATGAGAATGGGAAGAGATAAAGAATGTAAGGTGAATGTAAAAAGAAAAAAAGAACAATAACGACCACAAATTAGTGTATGGTAGTGAAATAATAATAATGGGGGAAACAGATAGGTACAACCGGAAATAATCCTTCTAGTTAAAGAAGTTACGGTCACTTTTTATGAAGGAAGGTAACAGCAGGATTGCCATTGGCTTCCATTCTGAGCCATATCTGATAACGTCTCCAACCACTGTGTTGCACCATCTCCAGGACCCCAACCAGGGAGTCGTGAAGGACCAACACAAGCCAGTCCTGTGCAGCTTCCTTTCATACCACAACACCATGTCATATACTGACCACCTCTCCGCTTTTACCAACCAGTCCCGGAGTCGGCAAATAATGCACGACGAAGAATTCTCTGGGACGACATTCGTAGAACATGTTCAAGCCACCGAAGTCTATGTTTCAAGATAGTGACACCAGTTGAATTATCGTCTCTGCGCCCGAACATGCGATGCCGAACCTCTGGTGGTTGTATGCCCTTACTCTGCCTGAGGTGTTTGTATATAGGGCTTCTAGGATGCTAATAAACTTCCCAGACACACCCTTCTTCAATAGACAACCCCAGAGAGCAGTCCTATCCAACGAATCGAAGGCAGCCCTGATATCAAGAAACACTACGATTGTTGGCCGGTGATAAGTATGGTGTCCTAACATTTGATGGAGGGTAAAGATATAATCAATACATCCTCGACCAGAATAAAAACTAGCCTGCTCCTCGCGAGTCAACCTACGAAGTATGACAGAAGCCAATGGCTTGGACGCAATCGGAAGTAGACTTATCCTCCGATAGTTGTTACAGGAACAACGTGAACCCTTTTTAAAGATAGGGATAACCACATTTATTTATACATGAATGAATACATTCAAATAAGTAACTTGATGTAGTTACAGAATATATAAGTATTAAGTACAACCATGTGAAAAAAGTGAATATTTTTATCTTCCAGTCTTGTTTGTAACGATTATTATGCTAGTAAGAAATCTGGCAAGATAGTCTCATAAATGGTAATCTATAACTGGTAGAAAAATTGATGCATAAGAAAGTAACTTTAACTCTATGTTCAATAGACGATATGTACTGAATAGATTGACAGGTTACGTATGTATCTAATATCGGAAAAATATACTCCGTTTTTTCCTAATACCGATTAAAGAATGAATAAACAACAACATTAAAACCAATAACTTACATCATTTTCGGAAGTACCACAAAGCCAACACGTTTTACATTCAATACACTGCCACCGGTAAGTATGTACAGAAGTAATCATATTCTGTGTAAACTGTAAACAAGAAAAGTGAGCAAAACGTCCACAATCTGAACATCTCAACATATCTTCTGACCGCCCAGTCTTCTTATTCAAACTTTCATCACCTAGGCAAAAGTCACAAGTATGTTCTGATGAGTCTGTATTATTCATATCCCGCCATTCTTGTGCTTCAATAACTGGAAATATTTATAAAAGTTATTAATACAATGATAATCAATAAATCATTAAGTTCATAATGATTAGTAAGACCAAATAATATTCATAGTCAATATATTTATCTATACTACGAATGTCTTGTAAACATACTTACTTAGACTACCACCACCTTGTTCAATAACTGAAGGGCGAACTCGTGAAGGGCCAAATGAACCATTTACAGAGGAACAAAGATTATTGTTACTACTATTCTTGTTAGTCACAGAAGTGGAATGAGAAGTAGAAGTGTGATTACTGGTAGTACCTGAATTAATTACTGATCCATTGAGCAAATGATTAGTTTGACTGTGAGACTGTTGTTGTTGAGAATGAGGATGAGGGTTGTGATGATGTCCATCTGTTCCTCGATAAGGAGACATAAAGGCTGGTCGTGCACAACTCATTCTTGGAGTCTAGCATATTATGGAATGAAGTGAATAAATAAACAGAAAAGTGGGGATAATGATAGATACATTAGGATCAAATGTAACAAAACGTAGTCTGCACTAAATAAAGTGTTTTGTGAATTCAAAAAATATGCATTGGAAGGAGTAGGATAGTTAGATAACAGAAAAAATAATGATACTCAGGACAGAAGAAATATAATTTGGTTCAACAAACTAAAAAGCCCACATAAAACATTTCAGAACATAGAATGATAATTTTACTTGAAACATGACTAGATAGTTGAATATTCTGTGGACATTTAAAAGACTTGAAATTTAATTCAATCTGTAACTTAACAATCTAGCACAAAGTTGTAAGTTAGATTATGAGTAACACTTGTTTCTTTCCAATGTCTACTGTAGTGATTAGAATAATCTTGAACATATGACCCAACTGATAGGAAACGATACTCTGAATCCATGAGACCGTCTCAAGGTGCTACAAACCTTAACACAAGTTACAAAATATAGCATGATTAATATGGTACAAAGATATAATCTGTTAGATAGCCGTTTGCTCCCCAGATTCAAAAATTTAATTGTAGTCTGATGAATTTGTTGTTGGCCTGAAGAGTTTGAAAACTGTTTTACCACTCTTTTATTTGTTGCTTTGAAATGTAAGTCACGAATTTCTTCGAAATCCCAACCATGACAAGTCATTGTGACAAACATAAAGCTAATATATGGGAGACTAAATTTCTTCGATGAAACTTTGAAATGAATTAACTACTGGAAAATTAGGTAAGCAATTTAAGAGGGTTTTGGAACTCTAAACCTGAGTAAAGACAGTCACTAAGTCTATAGAGTGGTGGCATATCTTGTTTTGGCCGCCCCTATCTTTTTTCAACCTACTCTCACACCGACCATCATTGTAAGTCTAGGTAGGTAGCGGTTGGGTATATGTAATATATGTCGCAACCGCCTAAGATGATTCATGATCTTGACAACCGATTTGCCTTCTTTATTTGGTACCTTGCGTTCAACCTTAACATTCCTCACTTAGTGGCCCCAATATACACGACCATTGTTTCGAAGACATTTATAATCAAATACCAACAACTTACAAATACCCTCTAAATTTAATAGCCCCATTTTAGAGACATATGGTGAAAAAGAGCAAACTGATGGGCAGTAACCTTATCCTTTGATCGACAGACAGATATCTTCTCACGATTTAGCGAAAGTCAACCGAGCTTTCTGAATTCGTGCCGAGAATTCGTCAGATATTGACCCATCACGGTTGATCAGACTTTCAAGATAAGTGAAGTGATCACCATGATCAGCTGCTTTACTCCCTATCATGCTGACACAGACCATTCCCGGGGCAACATTTTGCATTTAAAGGGAAAGAAATACATTTCAAAACATATTTGCATTGGAGCTCAAAATGGTAAAAAACTGCATTTTGTCTGAGACCCCGCCAAACAGAATTATGTCATTCGCATCAACAAGTAAACCTCATAGTAGAAGATAGATTCCGGATGAGTCAAACAATGAGAGCGTTATCGCTAAAAAAATGCATACGACAAAGTTAAATAAAATTAGAGGAAGTAAACAACCCTGATGAAGATCACTTGATGCTGCAAGTTCCGATGGCTGTTTACTATAAACTATGACTACTAGTAGCGTACAAGGGTATCTCTTTCAATGACAGATACTGCCATACAACATATTGAACTGCAGAATCAAAAGCCGCCTTAAGGTCAAGAAATACAACTATGATTGTGAGTTGATAGGTGTCCGTGTTCCCAAACCTGAAGAGAAGCTAACATTTGGTCTACGCATTCACTTCCAGGTCTGAAACAAGCATGGTTTTCCCGAGTTTGATCTTTATGAGTCTTGGTTAAGCGTTAGGTGATTAGATAAGTTAATACTATAGGTAAAAATGATTTACTCTGTGGTTATCACAATATGATTTTTGTCCAATCCCATAAACTCGAACGATCAGTGATCGAAACCACTCCATTTCCCAAACTAGCTAGTAACTCAGTCAACTTGACTGAAAAAAACCCAAGATCTCTGGGGTTAACCCTTCAGGCCCTGATATATTCTCAACCTCATTAAGAGTTGGAAGAGATATGTTTACATCGTATTCAGGTTGTTTGGAAACAGTAGGCAATTGGTAGTTAGCTGAAAATATACTGATTTTTCGTACTATATCTTTCTCTTTACAACCTCATCTTTATTGTGGCGCATATAAATTTTGGTGCCTGTTTGTACTGACATTTGCGCATTTAAATCAATCGACCAAATTCATAAGACTCTGTACGGAATTCATAAAACACGGTAAGGTACATCACTTTATATTAACTAATGTACTTTCATTAGTTGAAGCAAACGGAACGCATATAAAACCAGTAAAAATTCTGTCGTTTACAGTGGTCGCGTCTTTCATACGTAAATACAGTTTGATTTTTAGTGATTTAATTATACTGAGATGATACAAAACAAAGAGAAAATAATCAAAGAATCATCAGGCTGAGTGGGTTATTAACTCGACAGCTAGTGACCCACTAGAGTTACATCGACTGGAACACTGTTACGAGGTACTTCCATCTCATGAAAGTCGAATGTGAAATGGTGGGGAAGAAACTAATCGGCTAGAGTGAATTGGGAATGCCGACTGCACCAGAGTTACGGCAGTAAAGTTTTCCCATAGGCAACTAACATCTCTGCCCCCAAATGCCCTGGTACGGCCAAGAGTGGGGAGAGTCCGCTCTCCTTGAAATGCTCTCACATGGCCATGCATATATAGCCTCTGCCAGGGAAGTCCTATTCACTGCCTTCACGTGGCGGGGGTGTTGTTTACGAAAATGAGAGGACGAAAAGCGAATGTCTGGCGCTATAACCGGATCCCAAACCAATGGTGCACATGGGCTCCAGTATCCTGATGAAACAAATTGCGTATGAACCAATCGTTAATCACAGGCTACCATGGGACTGCATCTCCTTACGATGCCCCACTGCCTTGTGGGTCAGACCTTCAGGTCGAAGGTTCGGGGTGTGGCCCCCTAAGAAAACCACCTGCTTCGGTTTGGGCACCCGGGCAGTATCACAGCCCTCACACAAATCAAATAAGATTTGTGTGGCGCATATGTATTCGGTGCCTCCTTGTACCAATATCTATGTGTTCAAATAAATAAATAATAACTAACATCTCTAGGGTTACTATCTTTCTGAGGACGAAAGAAAAAGTTACTCCGACACCTTTGTTTAACGTATTTTTGCTGTCAATGGCGAGGTATTACAAGTTACTCACAGACAAGTAAACTTAACAGTGTCTATGTAAATATTCATTAGCCACTGTGATTTCGTGGCTGATGAGGTTTTCAAGATACTCCATATGTTAGGATATGCATGAGTACAGATCGGTTTTGTAGCAACAGTTTACATTTAGATGAAAAGAGCATTTTAAATGTTTTTGTATTGTCGCTTGAAGCATCCAGGAAACCGAATTTCGGCACCATCATTTCAAAACAAAACTCATATGTATACTCTAAGTCGGGAGTATACAAGTAGGATATTGGCTTTTGAGGCTTAATATTGCAGGAACTAACTTAGGCAAGACATCTATGACGAACGACAATCAAATATATACCTCTTTATGTTGTTTGGGGTCCTTTACTTTTTGTGGTTGCATAATTGGTATATTATGACCTAAATTCTGATATTGACAGGAAGTTTCACGAAGTTAGTTTTGACTGAGCTGTTACGAAAACACAAACATAGGAACCAGGAGTAAAATATTTATGTGAAATGTTTTCAGAAAAGACGATCCAGTCAAAATATTAACAAAAACCTATAATGAAAGAAAATACACGTACCTCTGAATGCTGTGAATTAATATGGTAATTTAGTCCGGCTCGCGATCTGTATCGTACGCCACAAAACTCACACAGAAATACTGGCAAAGATGTTTGACGGTCATTCGAGTCATCATCGAATGAGGTATAATTAGAACGTCGCCGACCAGGTCCAGAGTGGTTAGATCTGCTTATGCGAGGAGTCTAAACGAAAAATGACAATATGTAGCTAATATTGAACTTGTTTTATTAAAACAATCACACCACAAATATACGGGAATTTCGTCCTAATGATTAGTTCAATAAATTAATCAATTGACGTATGATGGACTATATGAAATGAAGGTAGGTGATGACTACTTAAAACATCAATAACGCGCAAATACCAGGCTAAATAAGTATCTGATAATAAGATGATTAGCTAGCAAAAAACATTTTTGTTAACGTTATCAATTGTATACAAAGCATTTGACACAAAATTAAACATGGTTGAATGTCAATTTAGATCAAAGTAATTTTAGAACAAAGGTCTTTGTAGGCCAATGACGCACGAATCTAATTACTGCCTAGAATAAGCGTATTTGCTGGAATCTTTCATGAACCACAGGATATCTCCGACTAACTGACAAAGCTAATTTAATACAAAACAAAAATTGAACAGAGAATTCGCTAAGTAAAGGTTGCGAATGAAGTGTTTTAAGTGTTCATAGACAGAAAGAATCAAGATCGAGACATTACGCAGTGTCTAAGTTCCATAAGTATTCCAATATCACTCGACTGAAGACACGATTTGCATAAAAGTATATATAGTTTGTAGGACTAAAACGAAACCCACAACAAAGTTGCAATCATAATTTGAAGGTGTAGTGAGCAACAGACAACGAAAAAACCTGAAGTTTACACTATGCAAGATGCGAGTAGCAACTGCAATCTGATTGCTTTCAGTCTACTCAAGTTATAACCGTGCAAGCTTTGCATCGTTCATGTCTGGTGTTTAGGTAAGATAAGTATATATCTCGACACATTAAGTTCGATTACTAAACAGATTCGGGTTTGGGGTGGTTTTCTTTGTTTTTATTACTTACCACGACTAATAACTACCCAACAGTTACGATTATATTCAAGTACATCGAATTTTATTCAGTTTATGTTAACTGTAAATGGGACAACCAGATGACAGAAACATCGATTAAAGAGTGATCGGAACACACTAAGATCTCCAAACGTCAATCAGTACTCACCCGACCTTTCTTTCGGCGTCTACGAACTCCGAAGTTCTCATCTGCAAAATCACTTGCATCAGAATCCATATCATATTCTGGACAGGCAGCCCAAGTACTACGACTATCTTCGTCTACATCCTTGGAACACGAATCTAATCCTGAGATATTTTGACGATCTGATGGTAAGAAAATATTAGGAATTTACCAATTTTAGCAACCCCGTTCAAAGTATCACCGTGATACAGAAAAGAAGGGAGCTGACCAGTTCGTTTGCTTTTCTTCCACCTGTGGGAACGGTATCGATAAACCTGAGTCAGGTAGCCTACAGGTTCATTCTTTGTGGAAAGTCACTCACCTCCCTCTCTTTCTCTTTGGTTACGATAAAGTAAACACGGTCTTTGAGCTATTCCGGTAGCGCTGTCCAGAAACGGTAAACGACTAAGTTTATCCTGTTGTAGTCGCCGGTTATACCTTGATGCAAAAGCAAGCAGTTTGTCATAAGTAAATTCGTTCGGTTCAGATGACATGATTAAGACAACCGAACGCTTTGAAACGAAATCTAACATCAAGTTCTAGGCCCACATCAGAAGCAATTCAAATATAGCGTGAGGTCAAGTAACTCACAAAACCATATGGTTTTATGGTGATACGTATAAACAAACTCATTGTCCAACAATCTGGTTATTTATTACTTCTTGACAGTATAAGACATGCTCCAGTTTAACTAGCTGTTAATTATATGAACGACACATAGTATAAGATATCGTTAAGCCTGCTCGAGGCAGGAAAATTCATGGCTTTAAACCTTTTGTATTTCATAAGTAACCAATCAGTCCTCCGTCTTTATTAGTGACGAAAGAACCACATATAGGCTATATTGATTCTCAATTTGAACGACTTGGTAGGCGCAGTTGCAGCGATTCGTAACTCACAACTCAACATAAGAAAAGAGGCTCCAGCTTTAAGTGACTGCATATCGGTCTTTAAACCTTTTGAGATTGTCCTCAAAATGAAAAACTCTAGATGTAAAAAATATGAAATGGCATATCCATAACCACTGTTTAACATACGGTAAGTTAATATCTGATCATATCTGGAATCACGACACGAAATAAGAAATGTATTGAGGCGTCTCGGCATACCTTCTTGCAACAGACCAGAAAAAACATTTACGACTTTGGCTGCTGACTGTTAAACCTGTTCAAGCACAATCGTCTCAGATTTGAAGCCCAGGCTCTTCACTCGAATCTCATATTCCAAATTCACTCTTAAATACGTTCATGATCCTAAACGTCTTATAAATGCTCCACAAGTTATAGAAGTATTTGTCAGAAGCCTCCTTGCATTTACCTATTGTTTTGATTTCACTATTTGCAGTGAATTACTAGTCATTTTAATCTGTAAATTTGGGCAGAGGTATTTCATTTACTATGTACTGACGTTCACATCTACAGTGAGCGCTTTGCACGACTGAGGTTTTTCTAGATTTTACATTTGACGACCAGTCATTTATCCACCGAAGAAGAGCGTTTAAGTTTTTTAGACACTTTGTTTGGCTTGGAGGCCTAAGTGATTCAAATAGTTGTGGAAGGAATGGAAAAAGCTTTTGCTTAACGTGTCTAGTAGCAGTGGATCATCAATAACTTCAGGCAGGAACCTAGGTATATTAACGCTAATAGAGGAAAAAGAAATTGGTAAATCATAGTAAAATACTATCCTTAGTCCTTAAAAATAGGTCAGGTTCTTTCTTAAAGAACTATGGAGGAGTCGTGTAAACTAGCTTATCCGGCAGTGAATTCCCGCATCTGACGACTCTTAGGGAGTAGAAGTTGTATCCACAGTCCGTCCTGCTATATTGTATCACCAGTTTCTGGGTGTTACTTCTTAGGTTTGTGTTGGAGCTAAACATAAGTAGGTGTTTAAGAGTATTTCCAGAAGTGTTAAGGATGCTTTAAGCCATTGAAAGATCAACTCTAAGATGCCTATACTCTAATGGTGTGATGTGAAACAACTTCCAAATTTCGGGTAGTTTGCCTCGGCTTAGCATATGTGAGAACATCACGCTAAGCGGTGTTGCCAGGATTGAAGCTGCATCCCTCAGTATAGCAGGATGAACCATATCTGGACCAGGCAAAGCGTCTTTCCTTAGATGCCGCAGTTTCCGTAACACCAAGTCAGTGCTCATGCTCACTTCAGAAAGTCCTGTGCAGTTGCAGATGGAGCTTTCATCAATATAATTGATGTGGGTCGGTTGAAATGTTCAAGAGTATTGTTCAGCCGAAAGGTTAATGGGGTCACCATCGTTGAGAGTCGGATCATTAGGACCCAGCAGTCGGGAAACTCCAGTTTTGTACTGCCGAAAAGAGGCTGCATAACGGAATAAGCTTTTCGTACTGTAGACAAGTTTATCGATAAGCTTTATCTGGTACTGAAGCCTGTCTTCTCTTATTGCCTTTATCCATATGTTCCTTATATGCGTGTATTGCCTGTACGCGCCGTCATTATCAGTTCGTTTGTATTCTGCCCAACATTGCCTTTTGCGGCTTAACAAACGAAGAGTGCGATTCTTAATGATTGTAGGTTGCTTGTGGCTTTTGGGGACCGTTTGAGGAACTGACTGCTTTGTAGCACATAAGAGCGTGTGCAGTAAGAAGTCCCAGTTAGCATCCACATCAAGTCGAGGGTGAACATCCCAATCCACTTGTTGTAGATAGTTCTGTAGAGCAAATATATTCAGCCATTTGAAATTTCTGTTGTTGTCGGGATATGTTAGCTCACTTTTGCTGACAAAACTGAAGTATATAACGGCGTGATCGCTTTTCCCCAGGGGAACCAGGATTGGGAGGTTGTCAATAATGAATTCTTCGTTTGTAAATACCCAGTCTAAGCGTGACGGCGTCTGACTGTTTCTCCAAAGAGTTGCCGACTTCACATTTTTGAATAATCCCAGATCCTCAATGAGGTTGGAGAACCGAGCTTTAGTTGAGTTTACACCCCCAATATACGTATGTTCCGCGAAATTGACTTTAGGAAGATTGAAGTCCCCTAGAATCAGGATATGAGTAAATCCAAGAAACGTGGAGCCTATGCTTCTTTAGGAGTAACAGGCTTAAGGATGTAGGTATACCTGTCTCATGAGTTTCCGTACCTTGATATCGCCAATAAACATATGATAGATAGATATTCAACTCATGTTTTAACACTTACAGTAAGTATAAAAAGGGATATTAAATATTTTCTTGATTAACTTATCACAGATTCCTCTGATTACTGTGAGTCATTCACTCATGCGTTACCTCTAATGTCTTTGGAGGTCTTTGATACAATCTTCAACTTAATAACTAATCGTGAAACATTCTATTCCTATTCTAAGATCCTGGTAAGAGACCTTATAAAAGTTTTTCCTGAAATCTAAAGATTACATCTTCTGAAACACTTCTATTTTCGGCTGGGTTTTATTCTTCGCTTTTGATGAGAAAGTTGGCCAAATGTGACAGAATCTCTTAAAAGCCACCTTATACTTTGGCCAAAATATTATTACCTTAATTAATTTATTCTCTATACTGGTAAATCTAATTAAGTGACAAACATTTTCCAAAGCTTCATGTTCAGCTTCATGAACGTGACTAACGATAACATCTTTATAAGTGCCAACTTCCTTAGTGATACACAAGATAACATACCCAATCGTTTAGAATTTGTTGTATTTAGGACTTTAATAATTCAGAGTTGAAATGCTCCAGGGTTACTAGATTTATCTAGTATGAAGTCTCGAAAAAGTCGTAAGACTTTTTTATTAGAAAACGCAATTCGCTTCCGATAGTTCTTCCTTGAATCAGTGGTTGGCCCGCTACTATCACCAGTGAAAAACACTACTTAAATAACTTGACACAATTTCATCCTTGTCAACATACCCTACTACTCAAAACAAATTTTCCCAGGGCTGTTTCAGAGAATTTTTTTCACTTCTCTGGATACATTTTCGTAATATACTATAGCGAAAATTCACGAGTACCCTAGGGGATTTGGGCTGGTCCCCTATCATGATTTATTTCAAGATATCGAAGTATATCATGCGTTGCTGATCCTACATTCGCTGGAATTCAACCACTCTAAGCCAGTAGGACCAAGTAGGTGTCATGGTACCTCCCCGAGTCTGAGAAACATCTAACCAACTTTGTTATTATTGAGAGATGAGTGACGGGCCTATTTAGAATCACTCGTGATGTAAACGGAGACGTGACAGTGCTGAAGGTCCTTTTAGATATAAATTAAGCTTCTGTATGGCTGAATTAATGTCAACCAACCTGTCAAACGATATAACACACCTGGTTGAAATACGAGCTCACTACACATTTAGGGGCAATTAGACCAGACAACAAACAGTCACTGACTTTGAATCCAAAGGGTTAAACCACTCGTGTACTATCATCAGGCATTTGCAGAATAGCGAGACAAGTAATATTTTCACTTTCATGGGCTAGAAGTAAGTCTAACCAGAAAACTCATGACTGAAACCGAAATATATCAACTCAAATGTATTATATCCTGCAGTATGCTTCAACAAACCCACCTTGAAACTGATATCGAATGTATTTCCAAAGGCACTGTGGGGAAAATCTATCTGATTTATACTAGGAGCCTTTAAATCTACTTTCAAAAGACATATGCATAAGTTAATGTGAACTAGTATAAAATAGTCACTCGAGTATATGCGGCTAAGTAAATAATTAATACTTAAAACCTCTGAAACGGAGTACAGAACCAGCCCAAATTTCAAGAAACTAACAAGCGAAAGAACTCACATGTTGGCATACTTTAATCAACTAATCAGCAAACATGCTTAACCCCTCATCCAATTAAATCTTTGATAAGTCAAGGTTATTTAATTCCGCCTGGAGTCCCTTTCGGGGGCTACTGCCCGTCCAAAGCCCGGATAAAGGAAGAGGGTTGGGCATGGTGTTAGCGACCCCATCCCAAAGAAAACTAACTCGCTAAAAAAACGCTAACCAGAAAAAATTATCCAAACCATTTAAACTCTGCTCTGGGAGTCAGGAGGTCTTCGTTTAGAAAAATTATGACGCCTCATGATGAAAGCTGAGTTCCTTCGGATATCACGAGGCGGTGCCCCTTCTGACAACCAGAGCAACCATTTTTTTAGGTGCATGGAATGCTCGCACAATGTAGGAGACTGGGAGAGTTTTCCAAATTGCTGCAGAAATGAGGAGATACAATTTAGAGGTGCTTGGGATCAGTGAAACACATTGGACGCAAGTTGGACAACGACTAGCTTCAGAGGAGCTGCTGTTATACTCCGGACATGAACAAGAAAATGCCCCACATACACAAGGAGTTGCATTGATGCTGTCCAAACAAGCATAAAATGCACTTATAGGATGGGAATCTCATGGACCAAGGATCATCAAAGCCTCTTTCAAAACAAAGAAAAAGGGCATTACAATGAACGTCATCCAATGCTACGCGCCTACCAACGACTACAATGAAGACGCTAAAGATCAATTCTACGATAGGCTGCAGTCAATCGTCGAGAAGTGTCCAACAAAGGACCTGACATTTCTGATGGGAGACCTAAATGCAAAGGTT